CTTTTGACAAAAGTGGTCCTGACTAAAATATTTTAATGGTGAAGACACTGACATGCAGAAAAAGCTCTGGAAAAGAGTTGTTGTTTTTTTTCAAAAAAAAACATAGAACATAATCAGCATACAATTTTAGCCCACATACTGGACAAACTATAAATAACCCCCTTGAGGAAACTGGGCCACTGCAGAAGTAAAGGTAAAACAATAGCAATGTTAGAGGTAACAACAACATCAACTAAATGTTAGGGTACAGATCTGAACATAAATAGGGACAGTTTGTAGAAATGTATGTAAGAATGCATTAAAAAAAGTGTGTAATAAGGATGTGTAAAAAAAAAAGCAGCAATGGAGTACACTATACCTCTGGCTCAGGCTTCCTGTAGCTGGAGGTGCGTTTAGGTGCAGGTGCTTTTGGTCGGGCTGGTGGGGGTGAAGGAGATCGAGGCGGGGGTGAGCGTTCCTGTCGCTGAGAGTGACGTCTCCGTTGCCTCTCCTCATCCTCCTGCTTTCTCTCCTGCTCCTTCTGCCTCTGCTCCTCCTTCTTCTTCTGCTGCTCCTGCTTCCTCTGCTGCTCCTGTGTCTGCTGCTGGGATAGAGTCATCGCCTGCATAGTCATCTGTTGGGCCTAAAGAGGTAGATGGAGGAATTAGGAAAGGTAGATGTGGGTGGATTCAAAAATGGACAGTGCTATATAAATAGTTTACTAAGTGTGCTTGTCCCCACCATAAGAAAGGCCTGCTGGTTGATGAGGGCCTGCTGCGTTGCTGTCATCTGCATGGGGTCAGCGACAGGTGGGGCAGCCATGGCAGTCTGAGGCATCATCATAGCTGTGTAGGAATGAATACAACATGAAATCAGCTACATTTAAATCCATAACAAAGGAATGATGGATAATTTTTTTGCCGAGCATAATACGCTGCTTGCTCCACTGATAAGTGTATATATTTAGATATATATATATCCAAAATATAACAAAAAGTGATGTGGCAAAAGTGACCAATTTTCTTTAATATACATGTACCAGTGTGTGGGATTTAGCAGCATCTAGCGGTGTAGTTGCTGATTGCAATGTCACTGCTTCACCCTCTCATTACAAGTATGCAGGAGAAACTATGGTGGCTGTGAAACTTGTCAAAAACAGCTATCCAGAGCCAGTATTTTGGTTGGTCTGTTCTGGGCTACTGTAGAAACATGGTGGATTACTGAAAACATACCTATGAATTACACATTGGAGCCTTAACTAGATGAAAGGTTAATGTAGGAGGATTACCTGGCATGGTTGGCATCATGGGAGTTGCACCGTAACTAGGCATTGCTGGGTTAAATGGCATTCCTAGGCAGAGGTAACACAGTAACATAAAGATTAGAGAACTGAAAAGTCTGAAAGAAATGTCTCCAAAAGGGCACAAAAAGTTTGATTCTTGGCGATACAAATTAACCTCCTCACTTACCCATAGGATAGCTTGGCATTGTCATAGGCACACCTAAAAAAACAGAATGATTAGAGACTAAAACATTTCTTTCCAAAATGAGACCATAAAAGTTCAAATGCTCTCTTACAGTTTTTATAGGTAACATTTTACACTTGCAAAAAGTTACATTTATATATACTGTATAATACTATTGTATATATTATTTGGCATAGGCATGAAGTGCTGCTACCAGCTGTTACTTTCAACTGTAATTCTGTTTTCATAATATTTTGTAGCATTACTAATTTGTAGTTCTTGGTTGTATATTGTATTATTGTTTATTAAAAATGTATTTTACAGGGTTCACCAAGTTAAATTTAAGACATTTTAAGACCCATGTAATATTCCATAGAATGTACATTCATACTGACCAAAGTATGAAAGTCCAAAAAACCAGTGAGGACGATACAGCCTAGAATGTATATACAGTGCGAGCAATAATTATTTGATCCCTTGCTGATTTTGTAGGTTTGCCCACTTACAAAGAATAGAACTGTGTATTTTAATCATAGGTACATTTTAACATTGAGAGACAGAATATCACAAAAGATCCAGAATAACAACATCATATACATTTTATAAATTTATTATCATATTTTTGCATGAAATAAGTATTTGATTCCCTACCAACCAGCAATAATTCTGGCTCCCACAGACCAGTTAGTTTTCCATTAAGAAGCACTCCTAATCTCAACTCATTACACCTGTGTCAACTCGTTACATC